CCCCCCATTCCTACTCCAGTCCGCTCCTCTAGGGCGCCCCCTCCCCACCCGGCGAGAAGGTGTCGGGCGAGCCCCCGGCGTGTACAGTGTTTTACCATCACACTCACTCTTGGAAATAGTCGCGATGGCTTGGGGGTGGGGGAGTCCCCCTTCCCCGGGTCTGGAGCCAGGGGATGGCCGGAGGGAGCCCGGGGGCTGCGAGCGTGGGCGCGTGGGGGGCTGTTCCTGAAAAGTTGGGTGGCTCCGCCGGGCAGGTCTCCCGGGTTGCCGACTCGGTTATGGGGGGGCGGGGGCCCGAGCAAGTTGGAAACAGCCAAAACAATGCGTCCTAACAGGCGTCCCCCGCAAACAATGGCCGGGACCGTCCACACTGGCCGGGCGGAGGGCGAGTCGATAGGGGCCGGGGGAGGGGCCTGGCCTGGCCGCGGACCCCGATGCGCACCCCAGCGAGCCCCCGGGCGCCCCCCACATCCGTCCCGGGAGTCCTGGTGGTCTGCCCATCTCCGAGCAGGCGGTGAACGGGCGCTGCGTTTCCTGGATGTGTGATTAGGTTTTTTTTTTTTTTTAAATTCTCCCCTTTTAATTTTAAAGATTTAAAAAATCTTATAATAACCCTTAAACGCTTAAAGACTATCTTTATAACTCAATTCCAGTGGGAGACCCAAAGCCATCTAGAAGCAGAATAGGAACTCCAAGGGGCAGGACGGATTGAAGTGTTAGCCCAAAAGTGTTTCTAATTTATTTATTTTTTTTAAGAGAAGTTTCTGCCAGCAGGCGCTGAGTGGCGAAACGGCGCGGTTTCAGATGTAGAGCCCTCTTCACTTTTGATTTGGCCCCCAAATGCGAGGGACGCGGGATGGGGAGGGGAGGGGACGGGAGGGGAGAGCGCTGCTGGGGGCCGGGGAGACTGGATTTGGGGCGGCCTCGGCCGTCCTGCTCTGAGCGGGCGAGATCCGGCCTGCGAGGTGCTCGGGCCGGTACCTGCGCGTCGCGGGTCACAGCGGTTCGGGTCCCGGGTTGGAGCCCACATTTTAGGATTTGGGGTAGGGCCACCGAGGACGGGAAGCCGCATTCTTGGGCGGGTGGAGTGGCCAGGCGGGGCGTTTTCCTCAAGGTTTAGTTCCAGGAGCAGTAAAGAGCCACTAATGGCCACTTCTGGGACCCCAGTAGCCTGTTCACACTTGGAGCAACAGAAACTTTTTTTTTTTCTGTTTATTTTTTTTCCCCCCCGAGAAAAGGAAAGTCATGTCGGAGTTTAAGGCTTTGGTGTGTTATTCCGCTTTGAAATTCCTTGAGCCTCAATTTATATTTCCGAGTCAGCCTGTAGGGCTTGAAGCGTTGAACATTCCTGAACGTGTACTAAATGGCGGTTGTCGTGGTCCTTCGGCCAGTTTGGGGTCGTGTGTTATTGGCCAGCGTGTATACTACAGCCTGGCTGGCTTCCCGGTTTTCTAGATCGTTTGCAACCATTAAGCTGTATGTTTTAAGAAGCCTAGGTCTGATTTAGTTCAGGTTGATTCAATTATGTCTTCATCGCTTTTGAGTTGGTTGAATGAGTTGACATGAGATTAAGCTCAACAAAAGAAAGGCAGGGGAACAACAGCTGCTGGCCAGGCCTGGCGACTAGGTAGGGTCTTAGGAGGCCTTTTACCTTCTCTTTTCTCTGAGTCAAGTCTATTTAAAATGTCCTTTTACTATACTTTTTCCCCCCCTGGAGTGGATGGGCTGCCTTGATATCAAATAAGACTTAAAACACTAAATTTTATACTATTTTGGGAATTAGTAATCTGGAGTTTCTAAAAAGCCCTCAGTCTCTATAGTGACAAGTGCAGAGTAATATAACCTAATTGCTTTTTGTCTGAAAATATAACAGTCAAACCACTAGTTTGTGCTTGCTTAGTTAATGTGTGCTAAGAACTTTTAAGGTGTGTCCTTAATGGTAGATGACTTTTTCTGAGAAGTCATATTTATTTTAGATACTGTTTTGTTCGGTATTCCAAAGACTGTAGTACTGTGTGTGTATATGTGTGTGTGTTAATCCTGGTGTTTTAGTCGAAGTCACCCCCCTCCATTGCTGCCATTTTTAATGTTATATAAGTATTAAATTCTAGAGGCAGCGCCTTATTTAAAAATCCAGAAGCCAATAGCTACAAAACAAACTTAGAATGTATTCGGTTTGTTTGGGTTTATTACCCGATGGTTTGGAATTTTAATTATTTGGTGGAAGAAGGAAGACTGCTCTGTTAGCTGTGCACGTTGATTTGCATGCTGGAGGAGGAAGTAGGGGGAAAGATTGACTTTTCTAGGTGAGGGACATAGAATTTTTTCTCTAGTGTCCTACTTCTTTCAGTCTTTATCTTCACAACACCGTGTTGCTTGTGAAGTTTGACCTTTACTGTTTTTTTTTTTTAATCTGTGAGATGGAAGTTTAGCAGTTGTCTTGGGTTCATATTATTCCCTTTCATTTCTTAATCAAGAAGGAACTAATGCACCACTTAGATAAAATTTGTAGAAAATATTTTCCCCCTTAACCTGAAGAATAGTCTATTTAGATAATAGCTTGATCTCCCGCCCCCCCCAACCCCCCATACTGGGGGAGGGAGGAGGGAAGGTTTTGACTTTGCCTTTACTGTTAAGTTTTAAGGTGGAGGGAGATTTGCATACTCTTGTAAGCCTCTGTTTTTGGCAGTGGAACTTGGGGGGAATAGCAACCCCAGTTTTTGCTTCCAGTGGTCCTTTTAAAAGAGGAAATCTGAAAAGAAGACTTAATCAACAAGTCACTTACAAACCGATGAAATAATTAAGGAGTATAATGGCCTGGCAAGGACAGAGTCCCTCACCTCATTTCAGAAAAATGTTAATCACTTTTCTAACAGTATTTATGACAAAATGGCATGTTTTTGCCACAGCAGGGTTGCCTTTTCCCAACTCCCGAGCACTCTTAACTCTGAAATGCTTGATGAGAGCCTCAGGGGTCCCGAAAGATGTGCTGTTTTCCCACTTTACAAAATTACATTCTTTTCTTGAAGTTGTCACAAACATGGTATTGGCTGATAAGAACTTCTGAGTAGTTTTAATGACTCTTGACTGCTTACAATCTACTTAAAAAAGGATATGCTTTTATCTGACTCTTAGGACTGTAATGATTGGACCTCTTATGTTTTACATGAAGCTTAGTTTCCATTTGTTTTAAAAAAAATTTTCAATTCTGATTGTTCCATCTCAGAATGGGTGCCAGTGTGGCCTGGGAGTTATGGTTTTTGAGGTTGCTGGGTATGACTTATTTTAAATTTTTTATTCCTAATTCCCTATTTCAGTTAAATTCTGTAGCAGTATGGTTAGTAAGTGAAGTGGAAAGGTGAATCCGGGGCACTAAACAATGGCTAGGTATCTCCCACGCCTTGAAATTATACAGTAGGAGTAAAAACATGAGACAGTTCTAGATACTGATGGGCATTCCAATAGAATAAAATAAATGTAATGAGATTTTAAATTAAATGACTGCAATTGGAATATACAGAATAGTTTTGAAATTACCGAAGTATTGCAAAATAAAAACCTAGAAGGTGTTTACAGAACAAGCATTAAAGGAATCACAGTCATATTACATATTCCAAAGAGTGAAGGGTTTACTTGCAGCATGTAAATGAAACCTGGGCGGGTGGGAAGAGGCTGGATTCGTACACCTCATCTCCATGCTTTGGAGGGAGGGGAATTGACTAAGTGCACATGGAAGAAAGAATGAGTTACACAAAGAAAAAACAGGAACTTTCTTAAATTTGGGTGAGGGAGGCTTGATCACTCTAACCCAGTGGGCTCATGTTAGGCACAGTAAAACAACCTGACTGAAATGCTGGCTTTTAGGAATAAGGTTATTTGGATTTTTTTTTTTTTCCTAAACACAGTCAGGCGACTTGCTGGTGGAACGTGGGGCAAAGGATTTTGAAGTGAGACTATGAGGGCAGATAGGACTCTGACTTTGAGGAAGTGAGTACAGGGACCATCTTTCCTGAAATCTGCAGCTCGTGATGAGCAAGCTCGATTCTTGTATAAATCTACCTTCCAGATAAATGGCGGGGCAGCCCCTGCCAGCCAGCTGCCCCAACAGTTGCCCTTGTGTGCCTAACATTGGAAAAAGCTCATTAGAAAACTTTACATTCGAACATTTGTTGACTGATTGTTCTTAACATCCCCATTACTTCCTGCCCAGGGTAACAACATAACTGAGTTACTGGAAATTTGGGGTCAGTTTGGCAATTTTATGATAAAGTTGAGAAATAAAATTACTAAACCTGAAAAGACAGCTGAGTAAGTTGTCTGAGAGAATTAGTTTAATTCCTTAGCTTTTGTTCTGAAGCTTTATTTACCAAAGTTGTTTCTGAAGGACATATTCCTCCACAGAGAAGATTTATCCTAGAGTCAGATGCTGGTTTTTTAATGGGTTCTTACACTGTTTTCTGTATTGGCGTTCATTATATTCTAATGTTAGAAAACCTTTTGAATTTAAAAATGTAGTTATATGGCCTGGAGATGGAGACTCCAGGTAGGTTTTGTTCTTGAATAATTAGTATATTAGAAGAAATACTGGTTTTATTTTTCCTACCTGCATCAAATCTGGATAATTGCAGAACAGTTCTGTTATACTCGAAGTGTTTTTTTTTTTTTAAATCAGTGGATACTTTTTTTGTTGTCGTTGAGTATGTAAACCTAACAAACAGTGACTGCGTTAATTGGAAGGAGACTTTTTTCTCCTTAATTTTGTAAGCAAACAGGTGATTTGAAAGAGCCAGACATACAACTTTAGTATTTACTCAACAAAGATAGGGAGGGGAATATTTAAATGTCTCTAAAGATCTCATGCCTTAGAAGGTGTTGCAATGTGTATATATAATCTGAAGTTAGTT